TACCGTTTCTCAAATGGGGCGTCTTAGCAGACACCAAAGCCAGCATCAGCAGCATCTCAGTTCATGGTGGAGCTTTTCGCCCTTTAGCATTCACATCAGCCCATGAAATTGTGGTGACACCAAGACAAAGAGTGGACTTTGGAGCAAACACGTTTTGCGTCAGAGCAGCTGTCGCCCACACGAACCCACTGCGACAGCTGCGGCCCCGTCTGCCTTGGGAGCACGATCTTTCATGACCCGCCCTATGCTGGATACTGCCCTGAACCCCATGACAGTCATATGCACATTGGTATTGCTCAAGGGTTTCCTTCCACCGCAATTGCAACATTGGGGGGAGTGATGCAGGGTGGGGGATATCCCCAATCTACACTGGAGGTCTGCATGAGGGGATATCCTGCAATGCGGATATGCGCACCCAGGTATGCTTCCAACCAATAGATATCATATGACATGCTTTTACGACCTTGCATGCAGGTGCAGGTACACGGTATAGGTGAGTTAGTAATAGTAGCTATGGCCATTGCTTGCTTTGCGCCTATTTTGGCTTTGTTGTTCCTTCCAATCTTTCCTTGCTGATCTCCGTGCATTTCCCCGCTTCCTATGTCTCTCCTTTTGTATCCTTTCCTCAAAACCCCAACACAGAGATTCTGCAAGCAGCAAATCCCTTGTGAAAAGCATGCTTCTCTGTGACTTAATGCATATACACAAACCTACATGTACATGTTAACAAGTGTACGTGATAATCTGATAGCGACAGCAGTGCTATCTCTGTGCGGTGATTTCTGCCACACCTTAGGCTCTGGCACTGTTGGGGGCTTTAACGTCTGTTCCGCAGGCGTGGCATTTGCCTGAGCAATGGCTACAGACATTGGGTAGACGTTGCGGGAGTTTCTGTGAGAAAGACCACGCACACATTCTCTCGCCGGGATGTCATACATGCTGCAATGCCCACTGGCATGGTTGTCCACAAGCACACAGTGAGGAAAGCTCCCTGCCACGTTTCTGTGTAGGTCAGTCTCTTCTTGTACTGCGGCATGCTGGCACCGTGAACAACATGTCAAAAGGCTGGCCCCGCGCACGACCCGAAGACTTCATCATTACTAGGCCCGATTTGAGAACTGAAGCTCCTAGCATTGTGGGATCACACTCTGTTCATCCGAAAATGATGACCGAAAATTTCGGCGAAGGCGCGGATGCAGCTGGCTCAGTTGCCATCACATCCTGCATCCTGTTCTCGGCTCAGCCCGCTGCTCCAGTTGAGGCATGGCAGGTTGAGCTAGGGTGTAGGCCTTCGGTTGGAAGTAATAGCAGCAGGACTGTGGCAGGGCTAGTAGAATCCAGCTAGCAACGGACATGATAGCCGATGGGGGATAGGGAGGAAATTAGTTTCTGTGGCAAATTGCTACCTGAGAAGCTTAATTGAACCAACAACTACGCTCTGCGCCCTTCGCCCTGAAGTTCGACACCGGCACCCGAACGGCAAGCATTCATGCCATATCGTTTAGTACGGCAAGCATTCAAGCCATCTCGTTTAGTACAAAAGAGAATATCACAGTACAGCCGGGGGATTCTCTGTTGCAGTGGATGTTGATCCTTGCCTGTAATGGGTCCTGGGCGGAGGATGTTTTATGCAAGTTTCTGCCGCACGTGCAGATCTTCGGATGGACAAGTTACGCTCTTGGGGGCCTTATCGTCAGCCTTACACTTACAGCCTGCCCAGGAAAGCTGTCTCAGTCAACCTTGTCTTTGTCATGTCTTTGGCTTGAAGTTGGAGCTTGGGACAGCCGAAGTCCACGCAAGGCAAATTTTGACCTAGAGTTGGCAAGCTGCAGCCAGCAGTGGTCCGAACAAAGCGACGAATTAACATGCAGCGCGGTGATTATCCCCTTTGCAAAATCTCAGACACACCTGCTTCACCTACATAGTGTTACTCTGGCCCTACGAAGTCAAGAGCAAAGAGACAAGAATCGTGTCGGCACTTCTTGTGGAGCAATTATGATGGGGAGAAGGTGATGTTTCACATGCTGCGGCAAACAGGATTTCCAATTTCTGTGCTCTGCTGGCAGCCGGAAGGCACTTAAGCCCTAGATCTCAAAAGCAAGCCAGAATTGGCTGATGTTGCGACAGCCTGTCGCAACAACTGCTATTGACAAGCTTCTGCGGAAAGCCAAGCCTTCAAAGTTCAAATGGTTCTGGATATTCGCCTCCGAGTGGAAGACAGGAATTCCGACAGGAAACTCGTTCACTGACTCCCTGGTCACATGTGTTAGCACAAAGCAGCATTTCCTTGGCCTTTGAGATGCAGAGCACACTGCTGCTGCAATCATCGGCAGCCAAAGCAGGGGAAGCCTTCGATCTTCTGATTCTTCTTGTCCCGAAACTTCTACTCTTTGCGTGGTAACCTGATTGGATGAAGGCTTCCTTCCTGGCTGATCGCTGCCCGTCAGCAGCAAAGCCACAAAGTTTTGAGCAATGAAAAATGAATTTCCCTCTCTGTGAAGGAGCAGGGTCTGATCAGGACTTCATGCCACCAGCTCAGACTCCAAGCTCCTTCAAAAGTAGATAGGATTTGATGCTAGCTCCGGCAGCCCTCTTTAATAAGACCCTTTGCTTGATGAGCACTCTAACGGTTGCTCAATTCCCTGGAACTAGCTTGAGAAAACACCCTCCATGGAATGATTATCAACGACAGTTTCTTGTTTCTAGTTTCACGGAAGCCCGAGCCCATTGTTGGGAACGCCAGGCAAAACAGCCGCAAATGAAATGCATGGCCAGATTCTTCGGGCACCACGGTGATAACCCCTCTAAGCCACATAGGAACCCGATTTATCCCCATTGTTAACCTACTTACTAAGTCCCCCTGAGCCTAAACCCTCAACCCTGGACCATAAACTCGTGGGAAAGGCTTGCTTCACATAGGTACAGCCGTCCGTGTGGTAGGACTTGTACAAGGTTCGGGCTCCACCGCTTGGTGAGACCCAAGCTTGAAAAGGGGTTATGGAGGGCTATATAGGGGGAATGGACAATAAATGGAGACCACCATGCAAGGTTTAGGGTCTAGGGAACCCCAACAATGGAGAATCAAAATGCAAAAGAGACTGGTTCATCGAAATTAACCTAATTTGGGTTTTGGAGGTAAGGGAGGGGTTGATCTAAAGGTCCTTTGAGGAATGATTTAGAAATTCTGTACGTCTGTGAGGAAAAGGTGGGGAAATGTATTTCAGGGCCATTTTGGGACAAGGATTTTTCATCAACCACCAAATACAAACCCCCCAGACGGTTGCAGCAAAGCCTTGAGACATAGCATTCTCAATGCTTCTACAAGGAATTAGAGCGGATATTGTTGCCAGCGATTCAGGCTTCTACACTTAGTCGTAGCAATGTACAACTAGATTCATAGCGTTATCTCGTTTTCAACCGACCATGGCCTCGAAGTAGAGTCCGATTCCCTAGCCTTTGTTCCGGGTGCCTAGTATTTACACCCGAGTGCAGCTAGAAATGAACTCCCCCAAAATCAAAGGGGTTATACACCTCTAGATTATCCTGTGTGAGCTCCAAAGCTCATCGGCATACCGTTCTCTCGATAAACATCTAGGAATCCGCGGGTGCTACCGTTAACCATACCAATTCTGGCGGCGAGGAGCCGACTTGCGGACACGAGGCATTTACCTAATATAGTCCCCCTTAAGTGGATAGAATATAGGGTATATGGGGATCTTATTTTATTCTAACATACCCAAAGCCATACTCTGTCTAATTAAGGGGGACTATATCTTTCGAAGACCCTTGATTTTCCAGTACCTGCAAAGGTTGCGCTCCTGATTGTTGCTTGACCCGTTAAAATTTCAGAATAGATTTAGTTGCGGTTTTGCCCTCTCACCAGCAGTCACCCTTGGCCAAGCCTCCTTGGTTTCTTCGCTTCCAAACCCTTCAACCTTCGCCGCGTGATGTCCCAATACGCTCTCACGACTTGCCGGGATCTCCCATTGCTGGGAGGTTCATGTGCAGACTTACATGTGGGTCTATACATAGGATAGCCAAAAGAAGCTATCGGACGTTATCACTTTGCAAAGAAACCCTTCACTAAAACCCTCCACAGTCCCTGCCCCCATCAGTCATTAGTAACTTCTATTTGCCCTTTGCGTGTAGTTCCCCTTGCATACTAAACTAGGAGTCCTGATGCCGTAAGCATGTACCTCAAGGAAGGCCCCCCCTCAAGAAAAGTAATTCAAACCCTAAATCCAGAACCCTACACCATCTTCGAGAAGGTTTTCCTAAGGTGGTGATGGACATATGAACATGTATGTGTATATATATATATATATACACATATAAATCGCTGTTCGGGCTTCTGCAATACGCAGATGACAATCAGCAAGTGTTGGAGTTTGATCAGTAAACAGCTGGAAATGCAGCGGGCACGGACACGCCTACGAGATGTTCACTCTGACATAAGGTGTACTGGTGATGCGGCAGTGAATGCTTTGTCCAGCTGGTTCTTCCTTGCAAAGCAGTTTGAGAAAGAACTGAAGCTCGACTTCTCAACAGTGGCATCGCAGTTGTTGCAACTTTTTTTTCGCAGCTCATCAACTTATGGATGGTGCTCGATGTCAAAAGCTCTTGGAAGACGCCAGCTCCCAAATACACCAACGATGTCCATATGAGCCCCCAAACTATGAAGTCTCAAGACAAACTGACCCTCATGGCTCACCCGAGGACACGTCAACTGAAGGCAAACAAATTGTTGCATTTCATTCTGGGGCTCTGTGTCTTTGCAGCCGCTTCAGAACCAACTGACACAGTGCCGGCTGCCATGGCAGTTGATGCCATTGAAAAAGCCCCTGCGGCAGCTGACGTATTTTCGGCATCGGCGGCTTCCTCCGCCCCACCTTGTGCAGTAGCGGCCACCGCTGCAGCGCATTCCGCGGAAGAAGCCGTTGCGGCACCTCGTCCAAGTCAAGCATTTCTTTCCAAAATCCTCGTTTTCATTCTGCACATCGTTGTCTGCCTCCAAGTTCAGCTCGGTAGAATCATCATCCGCATTCTGAATGTCTGTCTCTTCTGCATGTTGGGCAGCAGTGTCTTCTGCATCTGCAGCCTCTTCCTCATCCTCATGGTTTGCGTGGCTGGTCCTTTGCAACTCCTCACTGCCTGAACGGCGGCTCGGAACAGACTTCCGTTGATCAACTAATCTTCACTTACACTATGTGTTTTCGAACATTATTACGGTTTCAAGCTTTTCGGCTGCGACGCAGTGTTGCTATATGGCCCAGTTTGCGTGCAAAGTGCTATCATATCTGTCAAACCTATGATATCTATCAACTGTTCTGCAAAATATGATACTGCTTTTATTGTATTTTGTACATCGAACCCTATTGAAACTATGAGTGGCGGAACTTATCTGCGGCACCTTTTCAAGGGTCAAGGCCCGCACCGATGTGTTCCTTCTTCATTTTCTTCAATATTACCAGCTTGTCGTTGCTTATCGCAATGTAGAACTATTGTCATACGTTGCTATATACAATACCAGTACTAGATGACATCATGCGTTCCATCACCATCTCTAGTACTTTCCTGATTCTCATTTCTTCCCTTCCGAGTTCGATTCCCGCCTTCAAGCTTCTTGGCCCGGAGGTGAAGCATCTCGAGGCTGCAGTCGCCTTCACCACACTCATCGTCCACATCGAAGGAGCAGACAGCCACCACCACGGCAGCAAAGACAAAAGCTTGCGACCACAACTTGCCGAAGATCATGGCAGTGATGGCGATCAGGATGGGTCAAGAGTCGTGCTTCAAGAGATTCAAAATCAAATTGCTGGAGCCAAACGTATCCAAATGTCACATCACAACTGAAGGGAAAGTCGTGAGGTGTATATGGACCATGTTTTGAATTTGGTTAGGCCTTTTGGTAGACCTTCGCACACTCCAAAGAACGGTCACTCACGCCGGTCCAGCCCCTTTTTGACCTTAGAATGGCTAGTGCACCGCTGCAGCAATTTATGCTACCGTTTCGGCAGTCACCTTTTGAAGAACTTATCCAGAACTGCTCCGATGTTTGTACACTTCAGATCCTCTCAGAGACGAGCGCCACTTACCGCAGGCATGTTCAGTGCCATGGCTTGGGTATGTATGGGTCTCCCCTCCAGGGTCGTCGGAGGGAATCTCATCATAGTCGCTATAGCTGTTCAGGTCAAACAGAAGGAGAAGCTGAAATCCAAGCAATTCAGAGAGGTCTGTGTCTTAGCGTTGCATCTGAGCCCCTCGCATGGAAAAAGCTTCATTGGAAGGCAAAAACCATGCATAGTCACAAATGGTCGTTGTTGGTATGTGTCACTGATGTGTGCACACGTGTGTGTGTGTGTGTGTGTGCGTGTGTGTGAACCGTCCTAGCA